TATACAGAGCCAAATCCACCTTCACCAATTTTTTTAACGTCAGATAATTTATTAAATGGAATCCATTCAATTACAACCTGATATGCACGGGCTCTAAGTTGAAATTCCTTCACATAATCATCAATATCCTTATTTCCACTTGTCCACCTTGTTTCTCTGACAGGATCGCATGACAGACACCATGCTGGATACGTGTTATCCTCATTACAATATGCACATTTTCCGTATTTTGAGTCACTATACAGTGATAATTTTAAATGTTTTAATTTCACATCTTTTAGACTTATATCAAATATAAATGTTCATTATACTCACCGACTAAATTAATGCGAATGAAATGATTTGAAGGATATTACATAATAGTAATGGTAAATAAGTATTTATGATCTTGATTTGTGAACTTGCTTTGCTGTTCAAAATTCTAATATTTTTTTTTACTCACGGGCTAAATTAACACAAATATATTTTTAATATTTACGAGCTTAATTAGCTAACGTGTAAATCAAAATAATTTTTTTTTACTTGCTCTCTAATAATTAAAATTGAATAATTTAATTGTTAAAGCATTTCCAATTTTTAAAATAATAAATTAAAAATTAACCACTTACTTAGTAAACCATTTCAAAAACTTAGTCTCATTATTTTCCACGCCAATTCCGTAATAGTAGCACTAAGCAGTTTTCCAAATTCCATTTATATTACCCGCCTCAGCTGGTTTAAAAAAAATTTCAAATGCTTTTTGCTTGTTTTTTTTCGACTCCAATTCCTAAATTATATCAGTATCCAATTTGATAAATTCCGTTGGAATTATTTAGGTCAGCCGATTTTTGGTAGTAACGAAATGCTTCGTTTTCATTCTTTTCAATTCCAATTCCAAATTCGTAACAGTAACCAACCCAATAAATTCCGTCTGGTTCGTTGGTATCTACTAATTTTTGACACTCATTGAAATTTAGTTGTTTAAAATCGTTAATAATTTGTTCCATTTCGATGTAAAAGAAAATAAACGATATGTAACAAACATACCGACAATTTTATTTTCAATAGTGGCAGTTGCACAACATCGGTAGTTCGCTTTAATGACCCAAATAAGGAAATTTTCTATGTAGATCGCATGATCGGGTGTAACCGTAAAAACGAAGGCTTCTAATAAAAAAATTCCTTGTAAAATTTTAGTATATAATACACCTTACTCCTAACCCTAACATCATGATTCATGCGTTATTTGTGCTAATAAAAAAGGATATTCCTTTTTTTGGTTGTATCACCGTGCAAATAAATAAATCCGATTTTACCCCGGTCTATAAACTAAACACGTTGAAAATTTAATAATATTGAACATGTCGACATTTACGATGTTAAAGTTATTTGTAGAATAAGTGTCATATGTCTTTTATATATAGGGTAGAAATTTGCGAAATTTTACGCGTAAGTTTTCTGATATGTAATTTTTGCGTGTAAATAACGTTGACCAAAACTTTCATAGTACTGGCAAAACTTTCGTAATGCAGGTGCAATAATCATGTGCCAGTGTACTAGTTAATGTAAAAGTTACAAATGTACGCGCATACGTATGTACAATTTTGTAATTTTATTGTATCTATTTTGACGATATCACAAATTTAATCGAATCGTCGAAGCATCATTCGGTCAATTTTTATCAGTTGTTCCAGGAATTATGAAAATAGATGTAATAATTTTTGAAACACCTGATAAAAAATCTGCTAGATGATTTTCGGCCGTTCCGGTTAAGTTATTATTTTGGCAATAAATTCAATAAAATTACAAACGAGTGACGAAAAGGGAAAACCTGTAATTCTAAAAATAGATTATTATGAATTTTATAATTATCTATTTTTAGAATTACAGGTTTTCCCTTTCCGTCACTCAAATTATACGTACGTACGCGTACGTTGTGACAGGGAAAAATGGTATAAAAACGAAAACTTAAGCTAATAGGGGCCACTAGTACTCTAAAACTAACACAAAGGCTACTAATTCTAATAAAATCTTTCCTTTATACCCTAGTTGGTAGGCTTCGATTGAGGCGTGGTTTGATTTGGTCCGAAAATAGGGTATAACTTGATGCTGCGGCAGTCACGGGACTGGTTCCAGGGTATGCTTATGAACTTTGGTCTAGGTTTTTGTTAATAAAATTAATGTTGGTTGGTATTCTTACTTCTTTTTCACTATTATTTACTATAGGGTTTTTCCACTATTCAAGTGAGCCTGGGTTTCAATGAATTTTCGGGGTCACGTGTCACGGGTCACAATTCAACTACCTCCAAATTTTCTGCGCAGTCACGTGATATAATGTGCTGTGATTGGCTAGTCATGTACCGTATTTGTTTATTAAACATTAGGTCATAAGTAGCACTTGAAGAATTTGCCCTAAACAAATATATTCGACATTCAAGTATACACTTTAAATGTTTTATCAAATAATCCTGATATTATTTAATTTATAATGCAATAAACGAAGTATTTTATTTTCCAATAAATCAAATTCGATTACATTATGTTAGAAATGTAATAATATAAAAGAAATCATTATGATTTCTTAACAAAACACTAGAATTTTAATTATGAATTTGGTAAGAATCAGCGTTTGAAAATTAATAATAATAAGCAAAAAAAAAATTTTTATTTAAAATTTATAATATTTTTTTTGCTTATATTAATTAACAGCAAAGCATAATGATTAGATTTTAAAAAATAATGGTTTTATTAAATAGCCATTTAGTTTATAATATAATCCTAAAATAAAAGTTAAATTTGAAATTTAATAAACATATTTTTTAATCAAATTATACCAAAAATTTTATCAGCACCTTCTGAAAGTTTCATTTATAACTAACATCGTGATAACTATTAATTTAATTAATAAAATTAATATTTGGCAATGCACAATTAAGAAAAAAATATAAAATAAATCTTTAATAACCTTTAAAATTGCAAATATATCGTATGTTTATCATTATCTTTCCATGTTTTTGGAGTTTTGATTCTTCTTTTATATGCCTTAATATCTATTACTAACTTATTAATTCCCTCGAAGCTTTTTTTAACAGCTTTTGCTCACTTAACATTATTAATTTCGTGTTGTCTTGTATAATAGATAGTGCATCTTATAACATTAATTCATAATTCTTGAAAAGTTGATCAGAATCATTATTTGTATTGGTAGTAATATCTTTCAATACATTTAATTTAAAGTAAATATTTAATTAATTAAGGGCGTTTATTTTTGGTGCACCCCGCACCGCGGAGGATCTACGGACAGTTCTTAGGGACAGTAGGGACAGTGCATAATCACGTGATCTTATGGACAGCGTACATAAATACATGCATAAGTAAAATGATCTTACTTTTCCGTAAATTTTATTTTTTTCATATTGTCATAAGCTTATCAAATACTACATGTGTTATATTCCTTATCTTTAACTGTGTATAGTCTTAAACATATTAAATGGATAATTGGTATAATCAAATAACTAAGATACGTATTTATGAAATTATTCTGAAATTCAAGTATTTTGTAATGAAACTTAATTTTATATAGCTAATGAATAATTATTTTTTCTTGATCCGTTTTGCTAGTTGAACCGCTTATTGAAAGAAATTGGGTAATACGATCTTGGATCAATAACTTCCAGCGTGCTGCAGCTAAAGTGGCGAATTGTGACCATCGATTAACAATTGGTGGGACAGGTGTACCAGGCCTCAATACTAGTGCTACGTAATGATTATCATTAATGAAAGCCATTGCAAGAGCTTCATTTCGGTTCAAGGGGTGGTGATATGGAAGGAAGGTGAGGCTTATTTGTAATGAGAAAAAGTATAACGGCCTTTGGTAAGTATTTGCTATAACATCACCTATTTGTGGCATTCTCATCCAGTGTTTGAATGTGCAAGGACCGTTCTTCCAAGAAATCTCTTTTATAATCGTATCATAATCATCATTAGCTAGAAATAACATTCGGTAAAATTTCTCATTTTCGTTTAATTCTTTCAGTAATTCCTTTCTTATCTCTGGCCACTCATCTTCGTTTCTTCCTAAACACATGGCCACTGCTCTATACCCACAATTTCCATCTCCGTCTACATTAATCACTTCCTTTATATATTCGTACATATAAGCAGGTATTTGATCATAAACTAAAGGTTGTTGTATATGTTGTGGACTTTTCATGAGTTTTGTTTCTGTTTTTTTTGTAGTTTTTTCTTTTACATTTTTTACATTTTTTATATTTTTTTCTTTTTTTATAGCAGCTTTATCTTGAATTTCACTAAGAAGAGGGTCTCGCTTAGTAGATGTTGGGTGTTTTTTAGACGCATTAGGCAATGGTGCCTTCGGAATAACAATTTCTTCACTAACTAATGCTTCGATTTTATGCAAAAATGTGGCTTTTGACCCACTATCGTTTAGGTGATCATATTTTTCTTCAAGCTTATATAAAGCCTTAGTAATAGCGAAGTCAGTTGATAGTGATGGCGGTAATAAGGGTATTGTATCATGTTTCAAATGCCAGCGAGAATGCACAAGAGTAAGTGGAATAGGTCCTGTCTGTGGAATTATGTGACGGCATGGTAATTTATAATTTAATCTTAAGCTACAAGTACAAGGGCTACTATTTGTATTTTTATTCTCTTCCATTTCATATAATTCTTTTTTGATTTTATCGATCGCCCATTTAGAAATTTTTCCAAGCAACAGTTCAAATCTCATGTCATTACGTATAAACGGATCAGCAGAAACAATGTTCAAACCAAAGGTTCCGTTTGTTCGTAGCTGGTGCTGGCGAAAAGCTCGGTCAATATGTAAAAATACTTGTTCCAAACCGCTTGCTGCCTCTATTGCTTTTTTTAAAGTACTATGACTTCCTTCTACTCGTTGTGTCGACTGGATTCCCATATGCGGATAATTTTTAGTAAAAACATGCATCCAACATTCGGAGTCTTTTTTCCATTCCTCAAAATAGTTTTGAATGTATTTTGGGTCTCTACTTTTCATTGCCGCTTTATTAACCTCATCAAATGCTTTTTCAATTTCATTCATTTCCTCAGCATAAACAACTTTTTGGATCGATAATAGAAGTTCATTGTAGTCTTCATCAGAGTCAAAGAATTTTCTACACGTAGTTCGTAAGTTTTGCGCAAGCATGTGCCATATGCATAACATTTTTTTCGCTTCTGGGAAAACCTTGTCCGCTGCTTTTCGAAGGGCTAGTGCTCTATCTGAAATAAATACCTCTGGAGAACAAGAAAAAAGATCATAAATTGTCTCTTTTAAAGTAAGTAAAAACCATTCATAAGTTGGTTCTTGCTCATTTGCTACCCATGCCATTGCAATATTATATGTATTAAGAGCTTTGGAGTTACCAATATTACTAACGCCTATAGCATTTATAAGAGGAAGCTTGTATAAGTTAGTCTTATACGTTGCATCAACCATAAGCACCTCCGGGCATATTGCCACCTGACGTGCTGCTTCATTATGTGTAAAAAATAAGTTTAACATATGGCCGTCTTTTGTTAATACATGATGAACTATATATTGACGTTCCTCTAACATTTGTAGAAGACGCACCGTAGTATCACGATTTGTACCCTCATTTAACGCATTTTTTATTCGATCACGTTCATTCATTATATCTTTTGTGTATATAGTGCCATTCTTCCAGTGAATTGCATCAGCAATCGATTGAGTTGATGACCCACTCTTAAGCATAATATGAACCAACTCTTTTTGTTCTGTACTAAGGCTCCGATGTTGAGGAAGGCAGTGAACTTGAGATGGAGGAAGTAGATCGTGATTATGCTCACTTTTGTAAGATTTTATTACCCAAACTTTAGTATCCTCATCCAAGACAGCTCGTAATTTGACAGGACAGTTTTGACGCTTTGTGGACTTCTTTCTTTTTCGAGTTTCTTCAGAGATATTATGATTATTTCGGTATTTACCCCCCATTGTGCATTGCAATGTGATATAAGGAGTATGGCCACCCTTTCCACCACCGAATACTTTTGATGATGATACGCTAAAAGCAAAACCCGCTGCCTTGGCACCTTCCTGCGCTACTTCCTTAAAGCTTTCTACCGTTGGGAACTCATCACCAACTTCTGGAATTCGTGGCTCTGGTTGCAACATTTATACAATAAGTTCTTTTTTAAAAAAACTTGATCGTTTTATACAAAGAATTAAATGGTTAACATTGCAGTATTTTTTTATTAAGTGTT